AAGCTGTCTAGCAATCATAATTCTATGGGTGGTTACAAAAAGGTGAAAAATGCGAACCAAAACTATCAGTAAAACAGCACAGAAAACAAAACAAAAGCCAAGAACAAAAAATGAAAGTCTTTTAAGGTCCAAAACAATATTATGGACTATATATAATTGAGTGGTGAAAAAGTGATGATTACATATGTAAAATAAAGGGTGAATCCAGCTTCGTGTGCATATTTGGAGAGTGTATGCCTTTCAGCTGCATCCTTTAAAAAGAAGACTTCTTTATTTTTACAACCAGAGATTATAATTTATCTCTCTTGTACAGAGCTGCTATGAATAGGGGACATTTCCAAGAGACGCAGAAAAGAAAAAAGCCATGTGGGCCTTGTACGCAATCCAAAAACAAAGGTAGATTATTAGACCACTAAAATCTCATAGCAGCTTGCAACTCTTGATACTTTCAAGACCCTGTATCAGGCTGGGCATTACAGAACTGGGAGGGAGATGCAGGAGACTGATGGATTTAAAAGCTAGAACTGTTTGTGAGGTTTTAATGGTCTAATAAACACTTAATAACTCAGTAAGCTGGAGCAGCTGGCTCAGAAATTCAATTCCCCACTGTACCTTGTGGGGGGAAAAAGCCAACCTGTGTGGTCTTGGGCAAGCTACGCAGCCCCAGAAGAAAGGAGGAGTACACCACTGCTAAATATGCTACAACTAGAACAGAGTGGTATGATATACCAGGTGGGCGGGATATAAATCAAATAAATAAATAAATAAATAAAACTCTCCCAACAGCAGGGCTGTCTCACAGTATGAGCAGGAGAGGTCACATCAGAATTTCAGGGTGTGAAATGCACACACCTATGCACACACATGCTCAGAAAAGTAGCCACTTGTGGATGGTGATGTGAAAACTCAAGCTGCTCTAAATATGTTCTACTAGAAGAAATGTTTCCATACTTTGACATCACCTATGGAGTGTCACTCCTTTCATATACCTCGTATTCTCCTTCCATTGTTCATATTCATTGCTTTTTGAGAAGGAAGTGCCATCTTCTTTCTCACAAAATAATTTTTTCACTGTTCTGTCTTCCTTCTGCTTTTCTTCCTCTTCAAAGTTGTGCATATCCATCATATTCTGCCAAAACCAGAGAGATAAGAAACACACTCAGCGCATACCCCACAGGAAACAAGCATACAAAGCCCTCCTAGAAACCTGTGTGTAGTATTACATGTAAACGAAAATGGATGGAAGGCAACATAGGCTCACTACACCAAGTTGTGGCTTGACCTTCCAAACTACAAGAGGCAAATCATTTTCATTTTGCAGACTGCTGACACACCCCTTCTCAAAGCTATTGCTGTCCCCACAGAACAGCAGCTTCAGGAGCCAAAGCAGTCACCCTATACATTTTCTTTCAATTAAAACATCACATAAAACACTGTTCAAACTCCATTCAAATCACGATTTCTCATTTTAGTCTGCAAACTGTTGATAAACCAAGTTTTGTCTACACTGAACATTAGGCCAAGCCATAGATAAACCTTCTTAACCACAGCCTGACATGAAATTACTTTTGAAATTACTTGCTTGTTATATCAGTTTTTACATGTCGGTTATAAATAATCTGCCAAAGTGTATAGCAAGTGCATAGATTGCATTAGTTCAAAAGAACGGTTTAGCTCCAGAGTTCATTCTCAGATAGCAGGTAATTTCAAGATCCACCGTTCATCCTCAAACTCCTTCTGAAAAATCAACTGTGAAAAGTTTGAAACCTTTTGCAACACTGTGTGGTGTGATGCAGAAAGCGAAGGAAAGAAGAGGATTTTTTTTCTCTCCATTAAAAGGGTTCTTTCTTGAATAGAAAGCGTTCATTTCAATCCACTCATCCAAAATTATTTTAATGAAACATGCTTTCAGACCTCAGCACAATTCATGGAACAAAATGTGTGTGCGCATGCATGTGTGCATGCAGGCATTTAATACATTTATATGCCACTTTTCTCCCAGAACTGGGATCCAAGGTAGGCTACAATACAAATGAAAAACCCCAATACCATTAAAATACACTAAGGTATAATATTACAATAACATTAAATTCATGGTAGTACTAAAATATATTGCAAGTTAGACTAACATTTTGTAATTAAAATACTAGAAATATTTTACCTAAAATAAAAGAAAACCAGTACATTGACTAAAACTGTGTTATTGGAAAACTAGTCATTGCCGAAGGCCTATCTAAATAAAAAGGGCTTTGCCTGCCACTGGAAGGCTGGCAGGGAGGGGACCATACTAGCCTCTCTAGAGGAAACATCCCAGAGCCTGGGGCAGAAAAAAAGAAGCCCTCCCAAGTTCCATCCAATTGCCCTCTGAAGGTGGTGGGACTGCGAAGAGGACCCCTACAGAGATACACTCAAATGCTGAACCTAGGCTTTCAAGGGAGGTTTAACTCCATCCAGCACAGGCTGCATCCCTCTTCCCTGACCTGCCTTTCAAGAGGGAGAAACTCCTCTGTCTTATTGCAATTAAGCTTCAATTTGTTCACCTTCATCCAGTCCATTACTCACTCTGGGCACTAGCTTAAAACTGAAGCAGCTTGTTCAGATGGAGTTAGAAAGGAGAGACAAGAGTTGGATGTCATCACTGTATTGGTGGCACTGAATCCCAAAACCTGGGACAACCTTTCCCACACATTTCATGTATTAGTTAAATAACACGGGGGGGCAGTGACAAAGAGGGTCAAGACAGCACCCTAAGGGACTCCACAAACCAGCAACTGATAGTAGTCCCCCAATACCACCTTCTTAGATCAGCCCTAACAAAACTGCCTTGCTATTCTTTCCTGTAAGCACCTAGATTTTATAAAAATTACATTTTGGAACACTTTAACAACCTTATTTATGCCACCTCTTCCTTTATTCTCCGGTTCCAAGAATGAACTTACCAGGCTCCCATTTCCATCAGTCACAGAGGAAGATGTAGATAAGGGTTCTGTAGAGTTTGAAGTAATTGTGAATGGGACCACAGTATCCTCAATGATCTTGCGTTCCTAAAGAAGACAAAAGGCTGTCAAAGGACCTCCCCAGAAGGATCTATGGAGAAAGTAGCATAAAGCCAGCCCAATGAAACAACAGTTAGGCACTAAGGAAGATGCAATTTAAACGTGTCCTCTTCCTGGAGAGGAACAGGATGGAGGCAGGGTTGCAGGAACAAACGAGAAGGCTGGAAATCATGTGTAGTGGTAACTTGCTGAAAGAACTGAGAGTAAAAAGGAAAAGAGATGGTCCATTTCGTACTATGCAAAGAAGCTCCTAGTTCATCTCTTCCTTGCTGCCCGGAAATCTAAGTTCATTTATCAAGACTATCCCTTTGCATTGAAAGCCCAGATTTGGGTTGCAGACCACCTCAAAGCACACAGATGTTTCTGTCCATCACTATTCATTTTAGCTGGGGATTAAGTATTTTGGTAAGGAGAACATGCTGTCTTGATTGCTAAGCATATCAGTAAGTGCTGCAAGGTCACTGCAAATACTGCTAACCAAGCCCAAGCTGTTTATAGCAATTTTGGGGTCTTTGGGATTTAGGCCTTTGTTTCCAAGAGCTATCAGCCATACATCCTCACAGCATCTTCAGTCAAGGCTGCAGTAAATTACATAGCAGCCTTGCCCTTCTGGCACACAGTTGGCACACTGCCTATGAATATGGAAGCTCCACTTAGCTAGCATAGCCAACCATCAATTTGTGCTGGGGAAAAATCTTTGATGTGGTGAGTACTCCTTTTTCCTCAAGTATTGCTAGGGAGTAATTGGGAGTGATTTTGGCCACTTTCATATTTTATGTGTATGTTTTTTAAGTAACTAAAAAGCAATCAACCAACCTTCAAATAATGAGTAACATTAACAATTTATTTTCCTTGTTGGCTTTTAAAAAACAACATCACTGGCAAATAAAAAGGAACAAATCACGTTCTAAAACTACTACACCATGCTCTGGCTCCAGTACTGTAACCACTGTTTCTCAGTTCAGGCAAAATGAGAAAGAATAGTTAATGGAAAACTTCCTAGTTTTGTTGGCCCACTCATTCAAAAGGAAGAATGAAGGGATGGCAATGCATGACAACACACTTGTTTATATCTTGGCTCTATTAGGCTGAGAAACACCTGGGAGGATGTTGCCATACTTTGTCTCTGAGGATATGGCAACCACAGCCCACTTTTACCTCTGTCTTCATACCTCCTCATAGTATTTACGCTCCTCCTCTTCAACCTCTCTCTGTGCTCTTTCCCATTCTTCTTTCAGCTTATCCTGCTCTTTCTGGTACCTTTCCTGTAAAGAATTCCAGTACAGATTATTAAAGAGGAATTAAGACACAAGGGAGGTAATGTATTTCCTTAATCAGATTCAAACATACTGTAAGCTCTAAGTCAAGATGCATGCTTAAAAAAAAAACAAAAGAAAGTAAATATCTAAAAAGTGTGATCTAGGTCATTCTGAGGGACTAAGAGTGAAAATATCAATTTCAAAATATAGATGATTAACTTTGTTAGTGCTAGTGGGGGTGAGACAGATTGACTGCCTAAAGGAAGCCATAGGCTTCCATGAATTGTGCTGAGTTTGCAATTGCTAAGCAGGGCTGTTGAGGACTGGGCATTTTGGAGATTGCTCATTCATACGGTTGCCATAGGTCGGAGGTGATCTGATAGTGAATAACAACAAACAACGAAGTGGCAGCAGGGGTGATGGTAAATCAACAACATGGGAAGGCTAGACTGCTGCCTGCTGAAAATGGCAGCCCATAGACATTTGTCAACTTCTTTCATAATGCCTAGCTCAATGTTCCCCATTCAACTGACACTACTACATTTTATTTAATTTATTGTATTTTAGTTCAATTTATTAACCTGCTTTTCTCCCAGCATTGGGGCAAAAGAAAAGTTGAAAGAATTTTAAAAGACAAGTCTTAAAACAATTCAATATTCAATAAAATATAATATTAAAAAAGCGATTAAACATAATTAAGCATAATTGTTTATACAGTAAACAAATTAGAATGAAAGTGAAAGCTAACGTTAAAGCTAGCTCTTGGCTTTGAGAACACTTTTCAAAGCATTTTCAGAGAAGAAAATAGTCTTCAAAGTGCCTTTTTTCATAGGCCTTCCAGTATCTTAGGATCCCTCCTCCAATGACAGTGGAACACACTGTAGATCTATACAGATCTTCTATTTTAACACAAGAAAAGGATAAAACTATTTTTTTTAGAAAACACTACACAGAACCCCATCTTAGGCAGCCAGTTACTGAGAAAAAAACCTCTCTGAAGAGAAAGGTCTTTGAGTTCTTGCAAAAGGACAGCAAACAGGGAGCCAGCCTGGCCTCGCAGGAAGAGGGGTTATACACGGAGCTTGGGAGCTGTGACTAAGAAGGCCCTCTATTACCATGTCCTCACCTGGGTGAGTGTGGCAGGACCATAAAAGACTCCCCTGCTCTTTTTAAAACTTAGGCAGGTTCATAAAGGAAAATGTGGTCTTTCTAATTGTGTTTACCATCTCTCAGAGTGGGATTTGTTTGTTCCTCTTTAGTATTTGCATACTTATTGTTTTAGCTTTGATATTGTCTTCTAATGATGCAAGCTACCTCTTTATACTCATTGTTCTTAGCTTTAAATACTGTATTGTCTTTTATTGATGTAAACCATTGTTGTATGCTCACTGTTTTCAGCTTTAAAAATTGCCTCTCAAGGATGTATGTTGCTCTGGGCCCTTTTTAAGGAGAAAGGTGGGGTAAAACTACTTTAAATAAATAAATTTCAGGTAGCCAGAACCCAAGTCATTTAGGACTTTATAGGTCAAAATCTGCATTTTGAATTGTGCCCAGAAATGGATAGGTAGTCATTGAAGCTGCTTTAAAAGGGGGAGTGATGTGATCCATGTATCAGTCCCAGTTAACAATTTGTTAGTGGAATTTCAGAACCTGATCGTAGAACACTCCCTACTTAAATCGGGGTTAGCATGTTTTAGATTGATTTAAATGTGGGTGTTTACACAAGGTATGTGCATGCACGGATTAATCTGAAAGGGGAGTGGGTTGTTGTTTTTTTGGGAGGCCAGCAAGTTTTTTTGCTCCTCCCGCCAGAGGTCTGTTTATCTCACAGCAGATGCTGAATCAATTCAATGGAATCAGTGCTATACCAGAGAGTAGAAATTTAAAACTTAAGAATAAAAGCGTGGTGGCCTGCTTGCCAAAGCCGGTGCTGCACCAAACAGCTGATTCCCAGTCAGCCAAACAGGGACTTCCTTCCCTCCCTTTTCAGGCCCCACCACCTTCCTCCTCTCCTGCCCGTCTCTCAACCAACCTCTTCATCTCACCCCTGCCCCCCAAATCCTTCTTGCCTTCTATTCCCCTTAGCCACCTGCCCCCACACCATTCCCACCCCTACTCCCTCTTTCCCATTCCACCCCTTCCCTCTTGACCCTTTGCCTTCTATTCCCCTTAGCCACCTGCCCGCACACCACTCCCACCCCCCCTCACTCTTTCCCTTTCCACCCCTTCCCTCTTGACCCCCTCCATATATACAGTTCCTTCCCACACTCACCTTCCCGCCTATTATCCCAGTTCCCATCCACCCCCCTCTTGGTGTAGTGTCCTCCACTGGGCCGTTCATCGCTCTCTGCAGGAATGAGGCAGGTAGTGGACACTGAGCAGAGAATCATTCTTCCCGCTGCCCCCCACCTGCCCCCACTGAGTGGAGCCATCTCCTTGCCCAGTGCCAGCCATGCCTATGGAAGGCAATGAACCCGACTGCCTCCACAGCTCCCAGGGGAGCTCCCAGGTCTGGATCTGGGAGGGAAGGGTCATCTCCTCCTGTGGGGAAGAATGGGTGCCTCTGCACACACACCTCCTGCCTCAGGACCTGGAGGGAAGGCTTCTCTGCCCATCAGCTGGGCTGCACAGCACTTGCTCAGTGGCAGCAACCCAGAAGCAGCAGGCAGTGTGCAGCCCAGCTAATGGGCGTTGGAAACGCTAACAGCAATTTATAATCACATGACAGTCATGTGATTATAAATTGCTCTTAAAAAAACTCATTGCAACAGTGGTTCTTCTTGTCAGTGGAATCCAGCCCTCAGATCTGGGGAAATGTCCAAACCTTTTCCAAAGGCATTGATCGTGTTAAAGTAATGCAAATGACATGAAATAGCGATTAACCACAATCAATTTTGCAGAATGTCCTTCCTCTGGAGGTGTGCCAAGCCTCCCTCCCTTGGTGTTTTCAGAAGGTTGCTCAAGGCGGAGCTTTACAAAGAGGCATTTAAAAATATTCTTCCATTAAGGGAATAGTTGTAGACCTACGTTGGACGGTCGTCATATATTTTCTATGCGCCCCTCCCCTTCAGTTTGGTATTTTCATGCTTATACTGTGATATTAAGTTTGCACAACTATTGCTATTTTGATTGCTTGTTCTCTTTGTACACCATCCAGAGCAGTGAGTCACCACTCAGTCAGGTGGTAGAAAAATTAAATAAACAAACTAAGCTTTCTCTCACAATGTTCATCATCCATTACCATCATTATACCATCTGTTTAGCTTTCTAAACCCTAGTACGCAATATATTTGATCAGCTGGAAAGTAACGATGAAATATTATATGCTGTTTGAAACAAAATTCTTAGTCATAAAGCAGCAGAAGAGATTTAGCCAGCAAGTGAGGGAGCAGGAAAGAAAGAAATGGGTAATCAAACATTTAACCACAACTGGAAACATGGGGTTTGCATTTTTATTTGGCTAAACTGGCATCTGAATTTAACTGGGCTACATAGATATATATTGGATTTGGCAGTAATCTATTCAGAATAAATGCCTGCCAGTAAAATTTAAATGAAAGATGAGAAATTGTGTCAGCCTATAAAATAAAGAGACCACATATAAAGGTCCTAAGTGGAGAGGATGATGACAAGGCAAGTAGTTGGTTGTTTTAGAGTGAAATATTTTTCTACATCAAAATATTAACTACTGTATTCAAATCTTAGCAAGACATATTTAATTACTGTTTATTAAATTTATATGTTCTATGTTTCTATATCTACTATATCTACATCTATATTTATATCTATATTTGTTGCTCTGTGCCTTCAAGTTGGAGCCTTTTTATACCAACCATAATAGGGTTTTCAAGGCAAGTGAGGTGTTAAAGGTGTGGATTTACCACTTCCACACCCCCAGTGAGTTTCCATTGCCAACCCAATATTGCCTTGAACACATATTCCTGCCTTACAATCCAATACTGGTCCATACTCCACTGTCTGTGTGCTCACTTGGAAAAAAAACTCTGCCGTTTATGGACAAAATTCCTGCTAAGGATTGATACGCATCAATAGTGTGCTAACATTTCACTCCTTTTCTTCAGGAGGTTTGCTTTGACAATCCTATGGAGACTTTTAAATTTGTTAAATTTATACCATGCCATCTTGTGTCGATCCTGTGGGCAAAAAACATGAGGAAAAGAGAAGAGGCCACTAAGGTCCTTTTAGGAAAAGCAGGACATTAATGTGAAAAGAAAGTAAGGAGCTGATGTACCTGAAGTACGCGCTCCTGTTCATGCTGCCATCGTTCCTGCCGCTTACGCTCCTCTTCTGGATCCCAAGACCAGCAGCTGAAACGCTTAGAAAAAGTGTATGGATACTATTAAAATCTAGGAATATGTAACAAAACAATAAGAACAAAGTATTCTATATCATATTCAGCTGCAGCTACCAAAATACACAAAGCCATGCATGCATAATAATATCATCTTAATACAAAGATATACTGAGCCATGGAAATAGGTTTTCATGGACATAATCAATGTAGATGCTGGTTTGTATTTAGAAGCACATATGTATATGCCAGAAAAGTTGGGACAACTTATTCTAGGGCTATAACATCCATTATTTTCCAGCCATTATGGCCAGTGACCATGCTAAGTTGGTGACTCAAAGCACTGTTCTCCAAAAAGTAATCTCAGTAGTGATTTATGCTTGCATCACTATCTTTCTCTAAGATAACCAAGATACATCTACATCCGGAGTCTGAGACTTTGAGAATGGTAAATCCAGTCCCTGAATGATCTCATAGAATTGCAATGCCTCCATCCATTCATGGCAGACTTTCTTTGCCTGTGCCTTCAGATTCCTCAGAAATTCCTTATGGTTGTGAGGAGTAGGAAATGTCACAGCTTTGTTGGAGGGCACTTCTCAAGAACAGACTACAGTACAGTACAGTGGTGCCCTGCACAGCGACGCTAATCCATTCCAGGATTAGCGTCGCTATCCGGATTCGTCACTATGCCGGGGAGAACCCATAGGAATGCATTAAACTCCGTTTAATGCGTTCCTATTGGGGAAAAACTCACCACTATGCGGGGAATCCTCCATCCGGCCACAATTTTCGCTGTCCGGTAAGCGAGGGCAGGGTATGAAAGCACTGTGGGCGGCCATTTTGTTGACCCGGCGGCCATTTTGGAACCGCCGATCAGCTGTTTGTAAAACATCGCAATGTGAAGTTTTCCATATATAAAACATTGCGATGTGATTGCATTAGCGATTGCAAAAACCGCATCGCTATGCAGATTCGTCGTTAAACGGTGCGCTTGTTAAGCAAGGCACCACTGTACTTTTAACTGGACAGTCAAGCAAATGGTTCAGTGCTTTTCCTGGGGGACACATAAGGGCCTTCCCAAAGAATATGAGAACTCGGAATACCTTTGAGCATCCCTTAGGCAATGACAGAAGCCTGCTGGCTGATCCTTTCACTCCAGAAGCACTGGATTGCTTCTAACATAAAGCAGCATCAGCATCTTCCCCTTCTGTGCATGAAACGTCTCCCACTATGTCTGTGTGGTGGCAATCCATATTCTCTGTTATACAGTCATCTGATCCATTCAGATGAGCAAGGGTCACCTAGCAGGGGAGGCCATGCATGCACTACAGTTTTGGAGCAACTTCCCATTCTAGGCATTGGATCTATGATGACTGTTACAACTCTGGAACTGCCTGCACAGAAGAATCTCCTGGAGAATGTCTGTGAAAGTTCTACATATTTTGAAGCCCTGCTACTTTCAACAGTAATGGAAATGAAAGTGAGGAAAAGTCAACTTACATTTGACTTGTCGTGGTTACCAACATCAGCTGCAAAAAGAAAGAAAAAGTATTAAAATTAAACTTTCCAAAATATAAGATGGCAAGGTGTTTATTTTACTTGTTTGCAGGTTCTGACACCCTGTTCTCTAACCTTCAAAAGAATTCCAGAGAAACAATTCAATACTATCAATTCAAAATGTTATTCATGGGTATTGGCTTCAAATTTTGGGAGTTCTAGGGGACAAGATGTCTCAGTAGGCTCGACCCCATTAATGCACCTATGCCCTCACCACAACTTGCTTTTCTCCTCTGGGTCCAACCTGCTCTAAGAGAAGTGGAGATTCCTTCTCCTGGACCCCATTCTTTTCCCTGCAGACAGACTTGGAAGTGACAGAAGAAGTGGGAGCAACAACAAGGAGAAGGAGGAAGAGGAAGAGGGTAGTGGAGGGCTCTGGGCATCAGCCGTAGGCCCCCACTTGTGTCTGGTCCTCAGAAAGTGTTGTTCAATGCCAAGCCCTGACACTGTTACTAGTAATCATCATGCTATGTCCCCATCTCTTTAAGATGCAGCACAAAGACTAAAACCATGCTGGCCAAAAGAGAAACCACCACATTTCTACAAGAATCTCTCAATAATGTATAGCTTTGTTTATTTCTTTTTAAAATAAAATCTCCTGATCAAAGGAAGTGATGAACTATAACATCCACCAAGACGAGTGTCTTCTGTATAGATTGGGGGGGGGGAAACAATTAACATCTATCATGAGGTTCTCAACTACTACTGCTAGCTACCAATAGCTACTGCTTTTGGTGACAAGCACTAACGAGACTGGAATATAATATGCTGTCTATTTTCCACTTTTCCCTGCATTGCGCCAAATGGGGAAAGGGAATATGCCATTCCAGCATCACAGTTACCAACAGAGTCCTTGCCAATCTTGTGGATTTTTTTAAATGTCAACAGTTTACCAGTTATCAGAGTAAAACTGGGGTTTATAAGGTTGGCGATTTCCATGATAATCCATTACACAGCAGGTGCAAGCTCTTTGTCAGCTCTGTGACAGGAATAGGCATTTTCTACAAAAGCAAGAAGAATGGGCAGATATCAGCATGTTGCTCCAGGTCACATGTCAAAGATAGCTAGGCAGTGCAGCAAGAGGGAGGTAGCCACACCTAAGAATGTCCGTTACCTGACTGTGAGAAAAATTGGTAGCGCCGCCAGAAGTTCCGAACCTTAAGCGGAACACTGGCCCTGTTGGATGATTCTAGAGCAGATGGCAGAACAAACAAAAAAGAAGAAGAACAAGAAATGCAATGCTGTAAAAGCAACCCAGTGATCAGAGAGCAGCCAAGAGACTGAACATTGTTAGCCCATGCTAAAAGCAGGCTATATGGCTGTAACATTCCAAGGAGATCAATTAGGAGCATGTGTGGAAGCTTTTGGAGAAGAGCTAAGACCTTATTTCTCCAATGTAATCTATTATTCAAGGGTGCTGAATTGTAGGCTGTTTTTAATTATTTGTTTCCATCTCTATGGCAATTTTGCTGTTTTACTTTCATTTTATTATTTTGTAGCCAATTACAGATTCATAATGCTGGGGTGGGGGGAAGAGTGTATGTTGAAGACAGAAACTGAGCAAATTAGTAAAAGAGATGGTTTTCAACATTTTTCATTTGAGGATCTGAACATATTCAGCACAGCAAACATCCACAATAGTGATGTTGTCCCAGCTGGTTTTAAGTATCCTGCTGGCTCCCCCGCTCACTGTGTGCTGCTCCTTCCCTCCCCATCACACGATCTTTCAGCCCCAGCAGGAGCACAGACTTCCCTCCTCCAGCAGCTACCCAGTCAAAAGGAAGCGCTGCAGGAATCCCTGCCCTGCCTCCGCATCTGAGTGAGCAGTTGCTGGTGGAGGCAGAAAAGGGAAGTCCTGCTCCTGCCAGTACTGGAACATCATGCAATGGGAAGGGAATGAGCAGTGTACTCTGGTTGGTGATTGGGGGAGCCGGCAGGTGGTGGTGGTGATAAGGAACACCTGTGATGCCACAATTACTACTTAAGATGACCTGGCACAAAGTGCTTCGTGCCTATTTCTAATCTGCAACCTATCGGCATCCAGTGCTTTAGCCTACTAGAGTCTCCTTCTCCATGCTAACTGTTGTTAGTTGAAGAATGGTCTAGAGCAGTGGTTCTCAACATTGTGTAACCCAGGTGTTCCTGGACTGCAACTCCCAGAAGCCTTCACCAGTAACTGTACTAGCTGGGGTTTCTGGGAGCTGCAGTCCAACAAGACCTGGATTATCCAAGGTTGAGAACCACTAGTCGAAGGAAAAGGTATTATCTTTTTCCAGAGACAGCCTTCCATTCTTTGGGCTATATGCTGAAAACTGTACTTATGCTGAATTTAGGAGCAATATCACCAAGCAAAATTCCAGTCGGGAGTGCCTGGGTCATGCTATGGCAAAATTCCAGTCGGGAGTGCCTGGGTCATGAGAGGCTATGGTAGATTGTAATCCTGCTTTGCATAACCATCTTTCTCTTGCCACTACAAGCAGTGGGTGGTATCTCCTCATGTAGATGTTAGATTGCTGGACTTGAATCTGGTATAGTGCAGCGGCTAAATTACTGCTGAAAGTGAGGAAAGTACAACACCTATCACTATGTGCCACAAGAGGGCAGTAAAGGTACAACTCCTTCATCCTATTATCTGCTCAGATGTTTTCCAGTCTCACACCCTCAGGTATTTAGCCTTAACTTTACTTCACACCATGGCTCCATGTCATCCCATCCTATTTCAGTCATGTAGCCAGAGACGGTGACTACAGCTTCTCCTTTGTACCACGTACTATTTCACTTCCATAAAACTTCCACTTTGCTGAAGACAGCTTTTAACGACAATTCAAAACTTCAGCTTCTGTTACATGGCCACAGGGTCCTGTTTCAAATGCCCATAGGTTAAAAAAAGAAACATAAGTCAGCAGCCTTGAGTACATCTCTTGCGCTTTTGCTTTTTCTTTCTCGCTCAGAGCTGGAACTAGAAATTTTAATACCTAGGGCAAACTGCACCATCTCCCACACACTAGGTCCTGAGACATGAGCTTGAACCCTCACCAAGGAAAAAAAGAAGAAGAGAACATGGCGCCTGCCCCCAACAAAAGAAAATGTATCTCCTTTCAAAAAAAAATTAAATAAAGTAAAGTAAATATGAATGTGAACCATGGCCATTTATCTGTGGATCGCTTCCAGATTTTGTGTGTGTGTGTGTTCAGTCGTTTAGTCGTGTCCGACTCTTCGTGACCCCATGGACCAGAGCACGCCAGGCCCTCCTGTCTTCCACCGCCTCCCGGAGTTGTGTCAAATTCATGTTGGTTGCTTCAATGACTCTGTCCAACCATCTCGTCGTCTCTTATCCCCTCCTCCTCTTGCCTTCACACTTTCCCAACATCAAAGTCTTTTCCAGGGAGTCCTCTCTTCTCATGAGATGGCCAAAGTACTGGAGCCTCAGCTTCAGGATCTGTCCTTCCAGTGAGCACTCAGGGTTGATTTCCTTTAAAATTGATAGGTTTGTTCTCTTTGCAGTCCAGGGAACTCTCAAGAGTCTCCTTCCAGATTTTGGCACCCTCTAAATTTTGGTGCCCTAAGACAAAGGCCTGCAAGCATGCTCTCTCTACCTGGTTCTCATCTGTCATACAAAGGTAACTATACTTTGCTAATATTGCATGCCTAATATTTTAAGTATAACTGACACAGAATTTGTATTTTAAATTTCCTCTTTTTCAAAAAAAAAATTGTGAAATCTATACACCCGCTGTTGCATTATTATTATTATTTTCTTTTTTTAAGAACAGATGTAACTTTCTTGAGAAGACAAACCTCTTTCCCTCAGGCATTTAGACATGAGGATCAATTCAGCAATATGACATGCATTTTTCCCTCCTTTTAAATCTCTTAAACTCTTAACTAATACTGAAGTTTGCACTGAAACCTACATTTTTAAGCCCCCTTCCTGTTTGTTTACCTGGTGGAGCAGAATTCTGCAAAACTACTTGGCTCATCTCTGGAACCTTCTTCAGTTGCGGAAATACTATGCCTCCATCTTGTTCAGAAGCTTCCAAGGTTTCTATCTAAGCCAATTTATGAGGAACATAATCAGTATTAAGAGAACAAAAGAGCATATGAAATTACATGATACATTTCTTCTCAGTTCTTTACGTGGGTAAACAGTGTTTACTTATACAAGTTATGCTGTTCTGCTACCTAAATGGACATATCAAAATGGCTGAAATTCAGTTCTAAATACAGACAGGCTAAAGCCATACCATTTATCTAAATATTGTTTGCATTTGTTTATGACAGCATACAATGGTCCCCTTTAAAAAATTGTACTGGCTGACTTTGTTCAAAGTGCACATGCATTACCATCACCTTCCTGTGCACTTAAGTCATCTTCTGCTTATATATTTGTCTGGATTGGGGATATATTTGACTAAATACCTGTTGTACAGATTCACAAATGATGCTAGTTTATTATTCTACTAGATTTAGCTCTGCAACATAGATTTAGATTTTTACATCTGGTGAGCACAAACACCTCCTCATGAGAGAAATGACCCCATGCCATCTTTACATGACAAAAAACAAAACATGACTCAGCAACCTATCCTGCATTTTGTCTCACTGTAGAAACCACATGTCTTTTTCTGTCGTGATACCTTCTGAAAAATTGGTTCTTCTGCATCCTTCTGTTGCCATCTTTCAGTTTTCTTTAGCTCGTCATCTGAACCCACTTCCTTGAAATTATTACTGAGGGAAGAGTACTCCTCACTCGTCACTGTAGAGCTGCCACAGGAAACTGGTGTGCTGAATTCTTGGGGTTCTGAAGCTAATCCCACTAGGAAGGGAGAGAGGAAGGGTGGAAGATGGTATTTTAATATGAAATAGATACCCAGCATGGCTTTGGGCATGTTAATTTTTGCCCAATAAAGACACACATAAAGAAAACACTATGATGGCAGCTATATCCAGAAAGCAAGCTACAAAAGCTAATAAAAATAAATATGGCTCCCAGCTTTAGTCAACTAAATTAAAAATTGGTTGTTGTGGGTTTTTCAGGCTCTTTGGCTGTGTTCTGAAGGTTGTTCTTCCTAACATTCTGCCAGTCTCTGTGGCCGGCATCTTGAAAATGTGAAACGTTAGGAAGAACAACCTTCAGAACATGGCCAAAGAGCCCGAAAAACCCACAACAACCACTAGATCCTGGGCGTGAAAGCCTTCGAGAATTAAAAATTTCTGGTGTTTATGCTTATTTGAGGACATATGCTGCCTGATGAGTGAATGTGGCACTGAAGAGTACAGATGGATTAAAATGTATCTATTTTGAAAAACACCTCAGAGTTCCCTTGGTTACACATGCCATGTCCCAGGTGTTTAGATTTCATAGTCTAAGATCTAAGGAAGAAACAGATATGCACATGGACACACAGAAACTTTCTTTTATTTGGTATTAATAGGCCTATTCAATCACTAAATGTATTGACCAAAATCTTGTTGTGCAGTTCTGTAAGAGGCATAATTTCTGAAAGTTAATTCGTAAGTTAAATGTCCATAGACATAACCTGCCACATTCCAAGTTGCATGATTTCAGCCATTGTTTTATATAGCTTTTGGACTAACTGTCCTTAACTGGATGAAATCCCAAATAAGACATTAAAGAAATTGCAAAGCAAAGAATTTATGTAGATATCACTGCCATTCTTACTCAAATTTTGGCATGTTATCTAATTCAGTGGTTCTTAACCTTTTTGAAAGAAACGCCCCCTTGAGCCATTGAGGAAGTTATCATCGCCCCCCTCCCCGCGGTGATGATATTTATTTATTCGTTTGTTTGTTTGTTTGTTTGTTTGTTTGTTTGTTTGTTTGTTTGTTTATTTATTTAAGACGAAATGAAATTGCCCCCTGGGGGGCATTATCGCCCACATTAAGAACCACTGATCTAATTGAAAATAAATGATTTCAATATCAATTATTTCTAAAAGCAATTATTTTATATGGTAAAACAAAACATAATAACACTGTAACCTAGCTCAAGCTTTAGAAGAGGGTGGGTAAAACTACGACTGAAACAAAGTAATATGACTGTCAGTGATAAACAATTGCATTCTTTCATTATCGCCCACATTAAGAACCACTGATCTAATTGAAAATAAATGATTTCAATATCAATTATTTCTAAAAGCAATTATTTTATATGGTAAAACAAAACATAATAACACTGTAACCTAGCTCAAGCTTTAGAAGAGGGTGGGTAAAACTACGACTGAAACAAAGTAATATGACTGTCAGTGATAAACAATTGCATTCTTTCATTAAACCTGAAGAGGGCACTTTTCTGTTTCTGTATTTAAGAGGAGACAGTCATGGGTTGCTTTGCTTCACATTTAATTTTTTTTTCAGTGTAGAGATTAGTATTTGTGACAGGAAAATGTGCATGAAAGTGTGCAAATTACAAACGTCTGAAGAGATATTGCAATATTTTTTCCTCTCCAGATATAATTATTATGTGCGGTTAGATCAATTCTGATTCGTGTCAACCCTTCTGGCATTTCTAGGTGTGGAAATACTCAGAAGTGGCATACCACTTCCTCCTACAGCTAGGACTCTGGGATTGTCCACTGCTGCACAACTGGCAAGGAACATAACTATCACACACACTTCAAGTGACTTTGGCTGGCCCCTCTCCCACTGAGCAAAACGTCTCCAGACAGATGCCCATTTAATAAAATGGATACATACATTATTGGGAGTGGGGTTCATTGCTTATTTAGCCTGACTGAGAAAGCTGCATTTTTGTTTCTTCTTCCAGCCCACAGTCCCTTCTTGACAAGGCTACCCACCCACCGCAGTCACCGCACATAATTTCTCAGACATTTCTGCCAAGGAAATTGTGAAAAGGCAAGAAAAGGCAGCCTGTTCTCACATTTGCAGCCAAGAAAATGCAGCACAGGTTATGATATACTATCGTTTTCCTTGGCTAAGCAAAAATGGAGGGAGGATGGAGTAAAGAGAGACAGTGGGATGTCAGATGGGGACATGGGACTGTTGGATTAAAAAAACCACTTGGCCATGAAACTCACTCAGTGACCTTGGATTAGTCAAACTGTCTCAGCTTGGTCTACCTCACAGGATTGTTCTAAGCATAAAGTGGAATGGAGCACAGCCATATGTGCCTCCTTGAGCTCAGTGGAGGAAAAGTGGGAGCATGAATGTAACAGATGAGCAAATAATGAAGGAAGCAAGACAAAAGGATCAAAGACCACTGCAATATTGCTTACAAAGCTGAATTTCATATAATTTTCTTAAGCATATTGTATTACTCTACATTATTCTCTACAACAGAAAAGCTGCATCTAACACATAGAGTAGCCTTAACTGCTGAAGACTGGTTGATGCACAACTCCAGTGTGTATACGCCCTAAGATGTGGTACAGGAATGAACCTGGAAAGATATATGCTTTTTTGGGCTCCCAGAATGTTGTGAATGAACTGGGGCTTCCCTAGGGGTATTGGGCAAACCTAGTATACAAACGGTCCTTTTGCCAAAAATTCTACAATGGATTTTTTCCACTGGATCATGTGCCCTATTCACATGCAAACAAATATGGCTGCATAAGCTACTCTTCACACTTCATATTCTGCCTCCGGCTACAGAAGATAGAAGCGCTTGAGGCCCATCTCCACAAACTTTAAAGCGTATCACGTGGGGACCACAGAACCTGGAGTTCATGCTAAACCAGATCCCAGTTGAAAACAAATATGCATGGCATCTTTTAAAATGTGGCTTGAAATAACAGACCTGAAGGCGATCTTTCTGAATCAGTTTCTTCTTTTTGGTTGACTTGTTTTCCTTCTTCAGTCAAAGGACCCTGAAAAAGGACATTCACGTTACAGTACTGTCAAATCATATCTGGGACCAAACCGAAGTCCTGTGCACTCTTATCATGCGACAACAGTACTTGCGGTTAACAAAGTCACTTAAGCAGTTCTTTAAAATGCCCACTGGCTTGAGAATTAGGTTATAGTGTTGTAGAGGGCTGCATAATTGAGCCAAACAGATGCAACAACAACAACAAAATAATAAAAGAAGCAAATGCCATACAAGAACAAAACACCAGACTTTCCTATTACCTCTGTCTTTTTTAATGGAGTCATTTCTTCACATAATCTTCTGCCACTCAAAAGCTAAGTAATCAAGTAACAAAAAATCAGGTCACTAAGCAGGGGTATACAAAACCCTAGTCCCCCCCCCTTGTAAGAAACCTGTTAGATCTTTTTCAAAACCTTTTGCCTCTTTAAAAATCCCTCAGAGGTTTCACCCAGATAGGAAGCTCCTTTTGCCTCAGATTTTGATTTCACCTCAGACAAAACCTGGTGACTGCTGTATGTATGTATGTATGTATGTATGTATGTATGTATGTATGTATGTATGTATGTATGTACGTACGTACGTACGAACGAACGAACGGACAAACGGACGAACGAACGAACGAACGAACGAACGAACTTATTAAAAATATAGACTTGTCTCTCTACTGAAAATGGCACTGAAGGCCATAACAATAATAAAATTAGATATACAGTTAAAAAGTAAAAATACATATAAAAAGAAACAACAACACCCAACCAGTTAAATCTCCCTTCAACTGCAACCCTTTCCAGCTGTCTGGATATAATTGTTTTTGTCAGCTAGTGAAGGGCCAATAAAGAAGAAGGCAGTCTATCCTCTTTGACAGGAATTCCAGAGCCTAAGAGTAGCCATGAAAAAACCATGGTCTTTTTGTCCGTACCAAACATGCCTCTGAGGTGTTGGGCCCAAGAGAAGGGCCCTTCTTGAAGACCTTGAGACCTCTGGAGGTCAGACAAACCCTATGGGCTGCAGAGCCCTGCTCAAGAATGAAATGCTCAGAAGGCATCTAATATGGTGGATTTCAAGATTCTTTTTTTAAAAAACAGATGTCTGACCAACATATCCTTTAGATACAATGCAACTTTACTTGGCCAGTTTTCTACACTCCCAAGCTACTTTTATGAACTAAGAAAGGGAAGCACATTTAGGGCCAGTATCACCACTCCCCAGCCTTGCAAATTTTCCTAGCTTTATCAACATCTGTTTCCCTCAAAATTCCATGAATGCTTAGATTTTGCAGGAAGCTCCACATCAGTCTCGCATGCTTCCTGTTGGCAAAATTCAAGAGGGACTCAAAAGCAGGGTAGCAAATAATTTTTAACAAACTTGGGGGGGGGGGAATCCACGCACCCTCCCTCCAATAAAGCAGTTAGATATCTTTCTGTCTTCAGAGCCCAGAAGCCAACAAAACCCTTGAAAGATAGAAAGCAAATGATACAAAACACATGGTTTTACTCCCTCAGTTTTGGACCTTGTCCAATCGGTCATTGCACCTCAAAGGCACTTTACTTCAGCAGGTCTGATTTTTATTACAATAAACTGTTTCCTACCATCCTGTTGAGAGCTTTTCATATCCTATTCCCCTCCCCCAATTTACTGGCAAATATTTCCTATTTACATTTCTGGAATCGTTAGCAACATACCCCGAGAAGAGTAGCAGTAAGCACAAGCAACCAAAAAACAGACCGGGTGAATTAATGATACCTATTACTTATGCCTGCCAACATAATTTAAACAGTATGCTTGTTTTTTATATATAATGCCCCTCCTCAGTTACAGCATCTCCATTGGCTGCCAATCTATTCCCAGACAGAATTCAAAGTGCTGGTTCTAACCTATAAAGCCCTATAAACCTATAGACCCAAGGTGTCTCAAGGATCACATCACCCTTTATGAACTTGCCTGATTGTTAAGGTCATCAGGAGAATCCTTTCTTTTGTTCCCACCACCTTCACAGGTGATTTGGTGGGAAAAGGGAGGGAGCTTTCTCTGTTGTGGCTCCCAGACTCTGGAACTCCCTCCCACAGGAGGCCAGGCTGACCCCATCTTTGCTATTCTTCTGCAAGCAAGCAAAGACCTTTCTTCTGTAACCTTCCCCGTCACCATTTCAAGTCATTGCTGCTTTCAGTCAGTATTATGGTATCATCAGGATATCTTAAATTACCAATATTCTCTTTCTTCTAAATCTAATCCATCTTTTTGTATGATATGTTTTGCATAGTTACTGAATAGACAGAGAGATAAAATATACCATTTTCTGTCCCTACGGGAAAACAGTGTGTTTCTCAATATTCTGTCCTAATAGTTTGTTGTCTTGTGTAAAGATTATGCACCAGGATACCCAAATGAAACCCCCATTCCTTTTAAAATGATTCATTAAAATTGCACCCACAAGTCCTGAGAGTTCTTGGGGACTGCCAGTTATTACTTTTTTAAAAAAAAATTAGCATGGCAACCCTATTCCTGTAATTAGCAATGCATGTATGTATTATTCAGCCCAGCGCTAATGCGTGGACTCTACATGGGAGTACGAAATCTGGGAAACTGGGATTCTTGCTCAAATGTAGAGCCTGTTCAGACTCAGTGCTGTAGTCACAAAAAACATGGCAATAGAGGAGGCAGAGTTAAGGGCTCCCCTCTAAGCATGTTCTAAGTCCCAAGGTCAATAGCATCTAACTAGGGCTTAAGTTCAGTTTGACCTTGCGTGTGATTGCACTGCAACGAATTGCCCATACAACTGATCATCTGGCTGTTGTCTCTTTGAGAAAAACTGGCTTTCTGTGTCATCCTACCAAGTAGTTAAAGAGGATTTTGCTGCATTTTACGTCTGAATAACACTACAATTTGCTCCCTTAAGCACATGCAAAAGTAAAGCTTAAGGCCCAACGAATGTGGAGCCCTTGTACTATGACCAGTGAAGATGCACTTCCTCCAAATCCCCTGGCACTGGGAGCTGGTAAGGGTGGATTTCACAGCAATTCATTTTTAGCCTGAAAAAGCTCCTGTGGTTAAAATCTGCTGGCCATCTCAAGAAAATTGTCTCGCAAGAAGGAGAGCTTTATGTATTGGCCAAAGTATGTGGCTTTCAGTATGTCAGGCACAGCATGAACTGGAAACTTCTTAACCTTGTGAAATTAAATCCTGGGGCTCATTAAAAGAATTATGTGATTAGTTTTATGGTTTGCACAAATTACTACGATGGGCTCTATTTGTCTTTCTTTTACTGAAATGCTGAAGGCTGCATGCAACTTAACCAAGATGTGAATAAATGTTTATTTTTAGCTGACTTGGAACTAAATAATCTCTGTCATTTAAGAAACAATTGAGTTTCAAAATGTTTAGCAGCTGTAAATTTTAAAGGTCTTTTAAAAGGTTTTGAGGGAGACCATATTGATGGAAAGAGAGTTTGGGAAAGGTTTCTCCGTTTTTTTGATTTACACGTATCAGAATTCCCTAGCCAGCCTGGCCACTGGCTCTTGGTCTGTGGGGATCTGCTGAAGTGTGAACATCCTCTGTGCAGGTTGGAGCTGCACCTAACAAGGTTATTTTTCCCAGTTAGCAAAAGGACATGGCTTCATGAAGGGAAGAAGAGCTTGATACACTGAAGTATCCGTGCAAAGGTGCATAACTGCCAGAGGTGGAAACTAGGTCTCCACTGCTACCTCTAGCCATTACTCCTTCAAGGATACATTTCTACAGTCTCATAAGTGAGACAGGCACTCAATCCATACCTCTAAGTGCAGACAATAGCTTTGTCCAACAAACTTTCCCCCTTTGGCTTCAAACTGCATTTTAAGAGCAAAGCTACATGCTTTTTAAGGAGCCTACCATCTAGTAGGTAGATAATGGTACTGCAGACTTCAAACTCACGGACACATAACAATTAATTACGAATGACTTATACATCATGAAGTTGCTTCGGTTATTATGGCAATCTTAACAGAGTTCTAAGATATATGAGATGCGCAGTGTTTTTATCACTGACGTCTCCCAATGAGTTTCTATGGCTGAGTAAGGGATGTGAACCCAGGTCTCCCAAGTCCTATTCCATCCACTCCTATCCACTGCACCACATGGGATATCAATGGATTAAAATTCATTCATCCATTTACAATTAACAAGACATTTAGACTTCAAGAACCCCCTGACATATACTACTAAGATACCTGAATATGCACACCAAGTTGCAGATGTCTCTGTTTCATGGTCTTGGAGCTATGAATCAGCCAGCCAGACAAAGGGCAAAGTTATGTACACTGTTCTTAATACGGCCATTTTTTGTAGCTCTGGTGGTGTTATTTCTGAGATCTGCAACTGCTTATAGTACTGCATGAAATTTCTTGATATTGTTCCCAAAGCCCCAATGACTATGGGGACCACACAAGTGTGTTTCTTCCAGAGGCAAGATGTTTCGATTGCCAGGTCTCTGTACTTTGTCAGTTTTTCCAATTCTTTATTTTCAACTCTGGCATCCCCTGGAATTGCAATGTCAATGATCCAGATATTTCTACATTCTATTACTACTATATCTGTCTGGTGTGCTATTTTCAAGTTGTCGATCAGTTTTGATCCGGAAATCCCACAAGATCTTGACTTCCTCATTTTCTAAGACCTTTTCTATCTGATGTTCTGAGGGGTTTTTGGAGGCTGGCAAGTTATATTTTTTGCATAACGACCATGCACTAATGTTGCCACTCAATCAAGTCTAACATTGTAATCTGTTTGTGTAATCTTTGGACATTCACAGATGAAGTGCGACACAGTTTCATCTTTTTCCTGGCAGAGTCGACATTTGCTGTTAACACTAATTCCTTGGATCTTAGCTTTCATCACGTTGGTTTGGAGTGCTTGTTCTTGTGCAGCAAAAATCAAGCCTTGTTCATTAGTTTCCATTGTTTTTGATCCAATTCTTCTAATTAATTTTGAGTTATTAATTATTTTAAAAATGCCAGATACAGTCAATCAAAATTATAAAAACACTTACTGGCATTATATAATAGATATAAGATGATGCTGATGATTATAGACAATGCTATCCAATCTTTCAAATTCCAATAAATAGTTAAAAAGAAATAATACAACTAAGACAGTAAAAGCATACACACCATATTTAAAATTAATACATCAATATGTGGGTTCTCTTATTATTATTTCCCCTCTGACTGGCACTTCCACATGAAAGCTACTATGTGGTACCTATCTGCTATATGTACCTGAAAAATTATCCATCTCTATGTAGGAGGTTCCTTTTGTGTTGCTGTTTTCCTGCGATTGGCATCCCACATGAAAACTGTTATGTTATAAGACACTAGTGAAAGGACACATGAAATGCACTTTGAAAGAATCTGAAAGCACTTCCCACAACAAAGTCAGGACCATCCCATTGTTTTATTCTTACAGTCTGCTCTCTATGCTTATTGTGTTCGATGAGTTTCTTCAGAACAAGCTCGGTACTAGTGGAGTCTTGCTTCTCCTCTGCTGCCTCACCATCCATTCCTATCACACCGTCTGAGTTTGGCAATCGACTTGGCGAAGGGGCAAATATTAATGCTGTGTGTTCCCTCTCTTGCTCCTCCTCCACCCCATTGACAGTTTCTCCATTCATGCTGACTTTTCCATCAACCTGCAGGGAAGGGTTTCAAAACAACAGAAGTCAAACTAATGACCATGGACAACCTTTATGATTTCTAAGCAGAAGGAGGTGAAGAATTGTGTTGTGCCCTCAGTGTCTCTAGCATGTCACGGCACATATATAACCTGCTCCAGTGCTGTTGTTCCAGCAGTTGTTCTAATATTATATGTGACTCTTCATGTCTATTGTAATCTGAAATCTACATTATGAATATGTCTAACCTAGTTTATTCATATTCTGTCCCAGTTAGTCCTGCCCCTGTCTTTCTTATTTTCCCCTCCTTTCTCTGCCTGTGTCCTCATATTCTGAAAGACAGATTTTCAGCTCTTCTTGGTAGGGACCTGTCATTTTGCTTAAGTCAGGGTAAAGATGCTTGACACCCTTTACATGTGGTCAGATTCAGACTCCCATTAGTCTGAGCTGGCATGACCAGTGGTTGAGGACCATGGGAGTTGTAGTCCAACAACATCTTAGCTGGTGCTTAATTAATTAAATAGATTGCTTAATTTATGAAAAATTATCAAATAAGTTGACATATATTTTTATGGAGAACTACCCCGAAGAAGTGCATGCTTTCAGAGCAGACACTGACTTAGCGAAGTATTTCTACATGTGAGAGAACAAGAGGGAAATCTTGACAGTAGTTCCCAACATTGAGTCCCCAGATGTTCTTGGACCAAAATGCCCAGAGATTTCCGGAGGTTGTAGCCAAAGAACATCTGGAGACCTAAGGTTGGGAGCCACTGTTTTAAGACATCATTTGCAGCAGCCAATGTGTTTTGTGAGTACTATTTCTTGCTTCTTATTTGTTTACCAGTTACATTTATATCTTGCCTTTACTCAAAAGCATTCAAGGTTGCATTTGTAACTCTCTTCTTTTTTCCATATCTGATGAGACACATCAGAGGCTAGGCCAAGATAACTCAGTGGATGCTGTGGTTCAGTGGGGACCTGGATGTGGGTCTCCCAACTCCATGGTCAACATTATAATTGCTATATCGCACTGGGTCTTTTAATAAGTTGATCTACTAATTAAGACATTACATCAATTGAGTCATTAATTAAATACTGCAACAAAATACTACTAGTACTACTAACGGAAGCTCTGTAACATTTAAAACAGAATTTTCAACAGCTCCTCCCATTTTAAACAATATCACCCAGTATAATTCAACCTACCTTAAAGGTTCTGAAGACCTGCTGTGTATTTTTGGGCTGTGAGTAAGGCTTGGGGGTCAGCATAGGCACAGCCTTAGAGACAAAAGGTTTGCTTGGAGAACTGCAACCTGTTGAAAGGCTGACTTCCAATCCACCAGTGGGAGCGATGGTTGCTTCAACCTTGGCAGTGTATTTGGGGGCAGGGAGCGATTGTTGCCGTAAATATCTCAGGGGATTGGGGTCCTTAGGTGGGGATGATGAATTTGGCTCTGCTGAATGGCTTCTTTCCAGAATTTTTGGCATCTCCAGGCGTTCAAGGACAGCTTCACTAATGGTGAACCTCTCAATGTATTGTTGGAGAATACTATCTGCCTCCTCACGTGATCTGGCATTCTTGTATGCTTCGTGCAACTCTCTCTCACGCCTCTCTCTGTTTTGGGTACAAGAGACACAAGATTGCAACATGACACACTGCTTGCAGAACTTGACAGGCATGCAAGAAAACAAGCGGGGAGGTGGAAGCCTTGTCCATTTTCAGTCTGCAGTAATTTTGGCTCTGGACAAAGCAGCATCCCATCTCCGTGTCATAATTCATTTAACTGTATTTGAAGCTGAGGACATTTTACATTGTCAGCACAGTCATGAGGTAATGCTTTCCTTACATCAACTCTATTATTTCATATTACCATTTGGAATTGCCTAGTTATACCCTCCCCTGCCACCCATCCAGTATGCCTCCTTGGGATTATATTTTGGATTTTTACTCCCATGATTTTTTTGGGGGGGTCTTCCCCTTTGGTCCCCCCGCTTGCCTAGCATGCCTATTGGGCGCAAAGATGAGATGGCATCAAGTGGTGGTGGTGGGGAGAGAAATCACTCCATATTCCAGTAGCTTGGGGGAGGACTTTGCATTTTTCCCTGTTTTTGTTTACTTCCTTGTTTTTTCAAGGGGGGACTTTGCCTCCCTAATTCCCCCCACATATGTTGGGGGTGCTTTCCCTATTTTATTATTTTTTCACACTATTATTTGCTTAGTTTACTGTCCATTTATTCTGTTAAAGATGTACATTTTTGTGGGCTGGGGGAAATGTTTCATTTGCTTCACTAGATGTAGGTGGTTGTGCCAAGAAGTGAACTTTTTCATTGTACCAGTATGGTACAGTGATAATATATATTAGTTTCTGCATAAGTCTGATGATGATTTTTCTTTCTTATGGTCTGTTGCCTGTTTTTTGGAGTACGGTACAGTATATTGATTCTTTGTTTTCTGAAGTAGTTTTTATGGGTTTTTTAGGGCGCATATGGAGAAAGATGAAATAAAAGTATCTGAAAGTAAAACGAAATGGAAGAAAACCACAAAAATGAAAGAGGCACACCCACAAAAGAACCCAAAATGAAATAAATATGAAAAATTTACCATGCCAATCCCTAGAATTGAGCTGATTAGCACTATGTAGTTATCATATGCATGGTAAAATTCTCTTTAGCACTTGGCAGAATGATGCAGATGAGGGTTGATTGTTCATCTGTCAGGGATCACAATGCCCTCACCTGATGGTGATGAGTAAAGGTATTGTATTTGGGAATAAAACTCCCAGAATTCTTCAGGTATCATATCTGGGACTTGTAATCTGAAAACATGAATGTGCATACCCCTCTAGTGATGACTAAATGACACGTCAGCTGCAAGGGACAACAAAGTGCCTGTTAAATATGTGCTTTCCCTACCAACAAGATTCCCTCTAAGCTCTGTGTGTGTGTGGGGGGGCTGGGTGACTCCACCTCCCTCTGTGCAGCAATTACAGTATGTTCAACACCTTTGTTTCCGGTTGTGACGGAGCACTGTGCATGGGGGTGTGTGGAGTCACCAGTGCATGTAGAGGTGAACTTGTGTGTGCAGCAATTACAGTATGTTCAACACCTTTGGTTCCGGTCGTGACGGAGCACTGTGCATGGGTGTGTGTGGAGTCACCAGTGCATGCAGAGGTGAAGTTGTGTGCGAGAGAGGCGGAGCCCCACCCAGCAGGGCTGAAAATCAGAGGGTACGTTGCCTATTAAGAAGGGACAGAAGGCAATTCCACAGAGGTGGGGAACAAATTCCCCTGTCTTTCAGTTTGCCTCACTGTGCTCTGCAGCTTTAAGCAATTTTCCTCCTCTCAGTTCTCTTCTGAAATCAGGGACAGGTTGTGTGAAATGCTCAAAAGCAGCAAAATATAATAAAGCCACAACAGAGAGGGAGCCAGATTTTGCTTGCCTCCCTCACACATTTTTTCTTCTATAAAGAGAAGACAGTGATTGGGCCGTGTTTGAATGTAATAAACACATATTTAACATATACCTTGTTGTCCCACAGGTTTAGTTTGGCCCTAAGAGTTATGTAACTCTGAGAGAACCTACTTCTCTTCCACAATTTCTCTGTAAGTCTTGATGCTTTTCCTTCGTTCACTGGACCCCTCAGCTCCAGCCAGCAACTGTTCCATTTTTTTCCTCTCAGCTTCTTTTTTCAGCAAATCTTGTGAAGCACTTCTCCGGCGATTCTTCCATCGGGCCAAATCCTACAGGAAGAAGGTAGGTGGGGAATCTTAACGACCACTTATGGCACTGCAAATCACTCTGAGTGGTAACTTTGGTTATTAGTCTTGAACTACTTAGCTGAAATTCACGAGGGCATAATACCCTTGTGGATAGTTAGAACCAGTGACACTGCATCCAAGTATTTGGTTTGTTTACAACAAAATGGACAACAAATGGCCCGTGGGTTGCATACATCCACCAAAGCCATTTTGTCCCTCCAAGGCCCTTCCCAAATGCATGTATTGAACTGCAATGACACGTCGTCTAATTTTTGTAACAAACTCAATTTAAAGCAAGCAAGCTTTTTGCTTGGTTTAAATGACTTGTGCAGCAATGGTTTGCCACCAAATTCTGCAAGCAAACTAGGGGAAAAATCCAAATAGTTTGTAGCAGCTTGCCACCAAATGTCAGGATCAAATCTCATTTAAAAAAACACCAAATTGAGGGTTTCCCAAAATTTGGTGGTGCAATTTCTACCAAATATTAGCAGTGCATGGGTGACAAGGAGAGTATGCAGGGCCGGAGAGAGAAATGGTTCTCCGTCTCACAAGCATTGCCCATCCCTGGTTTAAAATTGATGTCTGAAAGAAAGACGGGAAAGATAGCCAGTAAAAACTAGCATGACCCAGACCAGTAGAGAGGCATACAGAAGGAAAAAAACAACAACCATTTTTAAAAGGTGCAAATAAAATGGAAAATAGGATTGCTTTTGTAACAAAGCAGGCAATGGCAATTTTCAAGAAGTACACATGCTAGGAAGAATGCAGCATTTGAAGCAAGGGTGGGCCAAGTCCGGTCCCGCAGCTACTGTTGGGAGGCAACTCCCATCAGGCCTAACCTGCATAGCCCGTGGTAAGGAATGCTGGAGGTTGTAGTCCAACAACTGCTGGAAGACCTCACTTTGCCCACCCTTGTTATAAAGGAATGAATGCCCTATTAAGGAGCCAAGAAGGAAAGGGAGGATAGGATGGTTGCTCTCTGTGAATGCAAACCAAAAAGCCACAAAGGCCTTGTTCAAGTCACGCTCTTGTGCTGCTGTTACACTACTTATAATGACTTGGGGATTGCCAATATGCCTGCAACAACATGCCTGCAACAGCTCTACAGACTCTTACTCACGTCCTGCCACCGATCTTCATCCTCCTTCAGCTGGTTGTGAATAGCTTGTAACTTTTCATGGTGAGCCTTGCTGTGAGGCTGCATCACAGCGGTCTCATCTGCACATCTCATGTCAAACATGCTCACGCTCCTGAAAGGGAAAATGAAAAAGGTTGAAGCAAGGGAGTCTTTGGACATTTCAGCCACAGGAGGGTGCCAGAACAGACTTCTGGGAAACTCCTTCTGGGAAAGCTGGCGGTGGGTGGGTGGAGAGGATATATCATATAGCTGAAGATGGCTTTGGATGTGCAGCCACTACATGACAAGCCTTGAGCTGGGGTTATGCGTAGTGCTTGGCATCACCCAGCCCCTCTGTGTGCAAGCTGTCTGCTTATGTACCATTCCAATAATGCTACAAATGAAAAGGTAGAGGCATGTCCAAAGCAGCATTTTAGTTTGGCATCTAATGTGAATTCAACAGCCACAGACTCACACCCGTCTGGATTTTCTCAACTGTCCCTTCTTTCACAGGCGAGGAGGGAGGTATCAGGAAAAACAAATCTTTCTGCATTCACAGCCTGACCAGCAGTTTTCAGAATATGCTGAGTGAATCCCTCATGGTTCCTGATAAGCTTATCAGGGTCCACCAGGAAGTAGTTTTCAGCCATGGCAGAAACATTTCCTAGGTCGTCGTTTCACCGACCCCTGCCAACATTATCCTGCATTAGGCAGTCCAAGGGGAATGTGGATGTGGTTCAGGCTTCATTCCTCATGTCAAACTACTCAAACTACTTATTTTCCAGGTTTATTAAAAAACATTAATCCAGCGTTCCTATGTTCCAATGCGATTGTGGGAAACATTGGCTTAATATCTGCCTTTGTGATTGTGTCAATGTGTGAAACAGGAGTGGTCTTTTACAGCATCCATTCCTGGTTTCACAAGTCAAGGTTTTATAAAGCCTACAATGATTATCTGAACTTGGGTGGCAAGTCTCAACAAGACTGGCTTGTGGCCACTTGTGAACCAATTCCCATGAGTTCCCATGGCAGGTGTGCAAAGTGTTTCTGAAATGGCAGAAAGCTTGAAAACCTCTTTTGTAAACTCTAAGTACATTGTAAAAAGCTTTCTAAAACTGTTTTCTGAACCAACTGAAGTGATGTCTTAAGAGACAGTTGAGAGATGACACATTAGACTATATTGCAGATTTTAATGCCAGCAGTAGGTAGCTTTGAAAGCCATCCCTGTTGAGTGCACATGCACAGCAAATAGTCATATAACTTGATTGTTATTTTGTTAAAAATGCCACACACACACACACACACACACACCCTCTCTCTCTCTCTCTCACACACACACACACACATGCACAGATAACATAAATTAATACATGGTTACATGATAAGCAACAGTCATTTTCTGGTTCTTTTGCATGAAAAGGTTAGAGGATGGTTATCAATGTTCAGCAAGATACAATATCATGAACACAGCACTTGATACAACAACTAAAAGACATTATATGCAGTTTGTTATTTTCCATATTGATGCATATTTATGGAATGTACATCATGTTTTTATTGCTTTTTGATGGAAAAGCAGGTTAAAACCAACTGTGCCAGTTACAAGTAGAACTCATGATGATGAAACCAAATGCAATAGGAAATTCATTAAAATCAAAATAAGGCCATCCTCACACTACTCAGAAGGCATTCCTCAACAGCTTACATTACTAGAATAATGAATTCATGCAACTGCTCTGTTACTTGTCTTTCTATCATATCTACAAACTTGGCCCAAAACAAGTACACTTCTCAAGCTCTGGCCACATAATGTATGTAAAAAAATGAGTGCTAACTTAAACCTTCCTGCCTCACTGATTAATCCATCATACCAGATTCACCTGACCAACCAGAACACCTGTTGGTGTCTGGAAATTAGAGGTCTAAAATATTACCTTCAAATACTGCTAATTTTTGAAGAATTACACTTTTATTTCACTAATGGATGCAATTTGTTTGATTTTTCAGTGATTCAATAAATGTATTACCTTACTGTTATACAGTGGTTCCTCGCACAACGATTGCTTCATACAACGATGAATTCACACAGCGATGGGTTTCTTTGAGGAATTTCCCCCATCGTTTAACAATGTTCTCTATGGGGGAATTTCACTTAACGATGTCCCTTTTTCGCTCCTGTAAAAGTGTCTTAAACTGTTAGAAACCTGTTTTAAATGCTTGCAATCGTTAGCTCACCTCCTGAACCCTATGCAAACTGAATTTGGTGTTGTTCTGAGTCGTTGTTAATTTTTGGTGATTTTTTAAATTCTCCATTGAAAGCCTTTGAATGGTCCGTTCAAAGGCTTTCAATGGAGAAAACAAAAAATCACCAAAAATTAACGACGACTCAGAACAACACCAAATTAAGTTTGCATAGGGTTCAGGAGGTGAGCTAATGATTGCAAGCATTAATCTGTTCCAATTGGAACGGTTTAACCGGTTTTCAATGCATTCCTATGGGAAATGGTGTTTCACTTAACGATGTTTTCACATAACGATTTTTTTAATGGAACCAATTAACATCGTTAAGCGAGGCACCACTGTATTTGTGTAATTCTGAACTACAAGGCCTTTTCCTAATTCCTTCTATACTTATTTCGATTTCCCCCCACCCGGCTTGCTGCTTATTAAATGTATTTATGTAGTTGGGAGGGCATGTATGTAGGCATCCTTCATGTCTTGAGGGACTATGGTAACGTGCTCTGAATAGAGGTCTTGGAACAACGTCTAGTGTGGCTGAGAAGGCCAATTCGAGAGTGACAATCCCTTCCACACTGAAGACAAATACAATCTGTCCCCTGTCCAGCTCCCTGATTTTGCAGGGTTCGGGACTGCCTTTTTGCCTCGTCCTGCTGGACTAGTGTCTCTTCAAAATGGGAGAGGCCATGCTGCACCGCCTGCCTCCAGGCTGAGTGCTCAGATGTCAAGGTTTCCCATCTGTTGAGATCAATTCCTAAGGCCTTCAGATCCCGCTTGCAGATATCTTTGTAACACAGCTGTGGTCGCCCTCTGGGGTGATTTCCCTGCACTAATTCTCCATACAGGAGATCTTTTGGAATCCGACCGCCAGCCATCCTCACGACATGCCCAAGCCAACGTAGATGCTGCTGTTTCAGTAATGTATACATGCTAAAAATTCCAGCTCATTGTAGGACTACTCTGTTTGGAACTTTGTCCTGCCAGGTGATACCAAAAATGCGTTGGAGACAACACATATGGAATGTGTTCAACTTCCTCTCCTGCCATGCACAAAGAGTCCAGGGCTCACTGCAGTACAGGAATATGCTCAGGACACAGGCTCTATAGACCTGGATCTTGGTATATGTTGTCAGCTTCTTATTGAGCCACACTCTGTGAGTCTAGAGAACATGGTAGCTGCTTTGCCAATGCGTTTATCCCGCTCAACATCTAGAGAGAGGGTGTTAGAGATAGTTGAGCCAAAGTACAGTGGTGCCTCGCATAGCGATCGCTCCGTATAGTGATGAAATCGCTTTGCGATGGACTTTTTGGCATCGCAAGAGCGATCACTTTGCGATGGCCCCTATGGGGAAATTTTGCTTTGCGATGATTGCAGGGAAGCGATCATCCCAAAGCCCCCATTTTCGGCCAGCTGATCGGCGGTTCCAAAATAGCCACCAAGTAAACAAAATGGCTGCCCGCTGTTTTGCCTCACTTTAAAGGCACCGAAAATGGCTGCCGCAATGGAGGATTTTCGCATGTGGTTAGTTTTTAAGCCCATAGGAACGCATTAAACACGTTTTAATGCGTTTCTATGGGCTTTTAAAAATTGCTCAGTGATGAAATCGCTTAGCAGCGTTTTTTGCTGCACCGATTAACATCGCTAAGCGAGGCACCACAGTACATGAAATCATGAACAACCTCCAGTTCTTGTGTAGAGATGGTAGCAGAGGGAGATGAGTCCACGCCCAGGCCCATGACTTGTGTTTTCTTCAGGCTAATTGCTAATCCAAATCTTGGCAGGCCTTACCATTGGGAGGGCATACCACTGAAATAACAGATTATTAAAGAAAAATTAATACCTGTCAAAAATCTGAGTATTGATAATGACTATGTGGCTGAATTACAGCTACAGATGCACATTTTAGAGTCTCGTACAGAGTCAGAAAAACATTACATATGTGCACCCAAGTCATCAATAAAGCTTGTGGGAAAACATACTGTTAAAACCAAGTCACAGATGCTGACTTAATGAAAATAATGTTCTGTTAAAAGTATATTGCTATACAAAGCAATTAAGGCAGGAATATTATTCACCTGCCTTCCCATCACTATCAGCATATGTTGTGTGTTAAAAAAAAGAACTTCAGAAAAGAAATAAGTAATTTTTAAAACTCTCAACTTTTGCCTCAGCAGTCAGATACCTAAACCACTCAGCTATCCAGCCAGCTCACTTGCCCTACCAAGTGATGATTCCCATTAGAATTAATTCCCATCAGAACATTAAACTGATAGAAAACCAGCTCATCCTAAGTGTTTAATGTGAAGTAAATGCCCCCTTCTGCCATCTATTGCCCTCTGTTATATTCATGGCTATCACACAGGAGATCTCCATAGTAAATGTTCTGCTTGAAAGTGTGGGAATTGTTCAAAGCAATCTGAATTGTGTCTCAGAATCCTAAACCACACTGTCCCATCTCCTCAAAAAAGTAATGCTCCTAATACATATTTCTAGCCATATATAACTTTTTAATATAGTTGTAATTAAAAACACATTCCTCAGTACATTATAACTAATAATTCCTTGTAGGGATACTGTATGGGATTTCCCCCCTTGTTTTCAATTTCATTGCTCATACTGTATTAGTCTTTTAGAATGGCATAATATTACAGGAAAACAATAAAATCCTTATATATTTCTGAAAGAAAGAAGCCATATGTTAAGTATTTCCCCTTTGGATTACATAAATACATGCAGGTAGAAATTTTATGCAGTCAGTCAGGTTAATAAGACATAGCAGAACTTTATTTTAATAAACTTGGGCCTACATTAATCTTCTGTAGTAAATCTTTTAAGTGACAGAATAGAAAACCAATGAATTTTGTAACTAAGGCCAGAAACAGACATTACAAATA